CCGCCTCAAACCTGTCTGGCACACACGTATGTCCCCGCACCAGCCACCTGATGCACATGTGTGCGCGCACATGTACCTCCCCTCCAGACTGCGGCATGAGCTGCCACAAGCAGTGCAAGGAGCTGGTGGATGTCGAGTGCAAGCGGCGCCCGTCCCTGGGGGCCATGGCTGCCCCCCTGCTGCCCCTCAGCTCAGGTAAACACACGCGTGTGCGAGAGTACACCCTCCCCAGCCAGCCGGTGCAGGGGCCCAAGTCTCTGCACACGCCTGCCCCCCCATGCCACTCACGGCGCCCCCCCCGGCAGGCTCTGATGAAGACCTCAGCCCCATGGCGCGGGACGTGGCCACGCAGACAGAGCCCCCCCACTACGAGCTGTGGGCACGGCTGCAGACAGTGGAGCAGGTGAGCGGCGCTGGGCAGGGGTATTACCCCCGGGGGGCAAAATGACCTCTGCAGTGCCCCAGGGATTTAGGGGGGGATATTACCCCCCGAGGGGGCAGAATGACCCTTGCTGGGGTAGGGGGGCTGGGCACAGCCTGGGGACCCTCTGACCCTCTTCCCACCCCCCGCAGGAGCGGGACCAGCTGCTGGCCATGGTGGAGCGGCTCCGGGACCAAGTGGCCCGGCTGGAGGCCGGGGTGGGGGGCGCCCCCCCAGCCCCCCTGGCACAGCTGCTGGAAGGCGTGGATGCCCTGCACCTGCCCCCCGGTCCCGACCCTGACCCCTAGGAGCATGGACAGACGGACGGACAGACGGACGGGGGGGGGGGGGAATGTCTTCCCTCCGGACGCCTAGATCCTTTTCCTGCCCCCCGGACACGCAGAGCCCAGATTGGCTTGCACTCCTTTAATCCAGTGAGCTGGGGGGGGCTCACAGATGGGCACCAGCAACAGAGCCAGGGAACCCAGGTGTTTTATCCCCGCCCCTTTCACCCCAAGCTCCTCCCCCTCTCCTGAGTAAGGAACCCAGGTGTCTTAGCCCCACCCCGTCACCCCAAGCTCCTCCCCCTCTCCTGGGCAGGGAACCCAGGTGTCCTAGCCCCCCACCCCTGACACCCTTTTCAGTGCAAAGCACTCAGGAGTCCTGCCCCTCTGTTGCCCCCCAGGCACCAGGGGGCTCTGGCGCTTGCCCCCCACCCCAGCGGGGTGTGGGAGGCCTCACTTCTTCTTCTTGCCCTTCCTCCCCCAGCGGGCACCACCGCCCCCGCCCTGGCGCCGCGGCTCCCAGGTGGGCATGGGGGCCTC